AGATGCTATAGAGGAGGGGGTGTCTGTGTCAGGGATCGAGGGAACATGCAGGTCAGGGAAGGTCTCAGGAATTGGTTGGGCCTTAAGAGGCATCTTAAAAAGTGAGGAGAAGCCAGAGAACAAGTTACACTGTGATGAGAGATGAGAGGTCAGGCTGGGTCAGTTGGGTCGACCTAATGTGCTCCTCCAAGCCCATCTCACCAGCCTCTACCTAGAGCCATCTCAGTCATAATCTCTCTCTTTCTCTCTCTCTCTCTCTCTTTCTCTCTCTCTCTCTCTCCCCTCTTCCTCTTCCTCCTCCTTGTCCTCCTTCTTCTCCTCCCCCTCTTCCTCCCCCTCTTCCTCTTCCTCCTCCTCTTCCTCTTCTTCCTCCTCCTCCTCTCCGGCTCTTTTTCTACCCCTCCCTCTTTCATCTCCCCATTCTTGCCTCTCTTCTGTCAATTCTCTACCTCCCCAACAGAATTTAAAGTTCCTTTAAAAAGGGAACCCTAATAATGCAATCCCTTTTCCTGCTTAAAAACAGCAATAAAAATCTAGCTACTCATCACAGCTGACCAGTCCTTACCCACTCACCATCAGCATCCAGCTCCTTGTATCCCCCAAAGACCAGTCCTCTGGTTCCCCTGAGTCTTCTTCACTCTCACACCCTCTGCTCTGCCCCTCATCCCCTAATCACACATCTCTTCACCCAACTGATGCTTACTTGCCCTCCACATATCTTCTTAAATATCACTTCCTCAGAAAAGCCCTCCCTGATTGCCTGAACACATAACAACTCCAAAAATACAGCCTCATTTAACTTTTTCTTCATAGCACTTACCAAGGTTGTGTATGCAACTGTGTCTTTGTGCGTGTGCTAATTCATGACTATCTTTTGTGTTCAACTTGAAGATCATGCAAAACAAAGGCCTTCCAAACTTTTTCCAAAAAACATCTGAATGCTCAGAGCTCATTACAGTGCCCAGCATACACAGTTCTACTTTGCTACGTCCCCTCCACTCCCTGTGGCATTCCCAAGTGTAAGTGATGTGTTAGTTGCAACTTTTGTTTGTGTTGCTGTTTCTTAAAGAATTATTCTTCAGACTGCTCAAAAGGCAAAAGAATGAAATCTAGACCAAGAAGGCCAAGGGTTTCTGGGAATATGAGAGATAGCGTGGTTCTTGATGAGAGCGAAAGAATAAGGACGATTTCTGCCTCACACGTGACCATTCCACCCAGGCTTTCTGGCATTTTAGTACAGAATCCTGCCTATATTTCTATTATATTCATTTATAGATTCATTGGGGGTTTATTTCTGGACATGTGTCTGGCACTGTGCTAGGAATTCAATGGAAGACAAGGGGGAGAGAGAGAGAGAGAGAGAGAGAGAGAGAGAGAGAGAGACTATCAGTTCCCTGACTTGTACCTGTCCTTGCACCAACCTGAGGTCCTCAATGGCTTCAGCAGAGACTCGGGTACCAGAATGCCTTGGACCAACTCCAAGCCAGAAGGTCTCCATCAAATTATTGAACTGCTCTGTGCCTCCATTTTCTCACCTGAGAAAGGGGACTAACCACTGTACTTTCCTTCCACAATCATTTTGAGACTGAGTTATCGAATACATACCTCTTAATAAACTGTCCATACATGAGAACTCTTATGTGATGCAGAAGCACCCTTAGCAGGATCAGATTCCTGTGTATATGTCACCTGTGTGATCACCCAGGACCTCACACCAGGAAGGACTCCAGACTTGGTTTAAAATTCTGCTGTGGCATATTTAAATAATAATTTTTGCATATGGAATCTCACATTTTCTTTAGCAATGGGTCCTACAAATGATGTATCCAGTTGTGACCAGCACACATAAAGAGCTGATCAAAAAGTCAGTGGATGCCTGTCTCCAGCCTCTTGTGTCCATTCATGAACTAGGGGCCTCAGAATTTGAATCATCTTAAAAGTGGTCAAGTATGATCATTGCATGCTAAATCTGAGCCTGTGTCCCCAATCCCAGAACTGATCTTCTATGGTGCAAAGACGGTAAACTCACCTCATTTATGCCCTGCAGCTTTGGCCACTGGGCACTTTGGCTTTCATTCTTCCCCTTATGTTCTGAGTCTGCAACGTGCAGACACTGTGAGAAGCTGGGGGTGCAACCAGAACCCTACAGACAAAAGGCTTCCAAGAGGGAAACAGACAAGAAGCAAGACACACCAAATTGCATATGGCGTGATGATGGTGCTAAGCTGACAGAGAGTGTAACAGGAAGAGGAATAGAGGTTTCAAGTTTAAGCAGGATTGTCAATGAGAGACAGATCTATGCTCAGAGATACTAGGTGAGGCAGCAGGCCATGTAGCATCCTGAAACAAGAACATTCCAGATAGAGAAAACATCCAGTGCAAAAGCCCTAGAGCCTTAGCCATAATTCACCACATGGGGAGATCTCTGAAGAGACTAGAAGCTTTGCCAAGCCAATGATACTCCTTCCTACCCCCAGCCTCCCACCCCAGTCCAACCACTTGCAGACAAATTCAGTCTACAGGTTTCACAGCAATTATTCATTGAGCTTTTGCAGCAGTTAGGAACTTCTTTGTTTAGCAACACAATGGGGTTTGGTTTTGTTGTTTGGTTTTGTTATGGGAGATAGTCATATTCAAAATGACTATGAGAGGATTTTATGCAGCCTTTGGATTTCTGATCCTCCTGTTCCCACCTCCCAAGTGCTGAGACTATAGATGTGCACCACTGTGTAAGGTTCCACCGCCTGCTGGGAACAGAACCCAGAGCCTCATGTTTACTAGGCAAGCACTTTACCAACTCTATGTCCAGGCTCAAGAGAGGATTTTGAGGGGCTGCAGAGATGACTCAGCAGTTAAGAGCACTGGTTGCTCTTGCAGAGGACCTGGGTTCAAATCCCAGCACCCACATTATGGCTAACAACTGTCTATAACTCCAGTTCCAGGGTATCTGACACCCTCTTCTGACCTCCACAGTCATTGCACAACACAGGTGCACTTATATACATGCAAGCAACACTCATACACTAAAAATAAATAAAATATTTTAAATAATAAATAAATAAATATGAGAGGATTTTGAGTGTACTTACCACAAAGAAATGATACATGCTTAAGGTGATAGATATGCTAATTACCCTGATTTGATCATTACACACTGTGTACATGAATCAAAGCAACACATTGCACTTTGGAACTATACACAATGATGTGTATCTATCAAAAAATCAAAATGAAACAAAAAGTTAAACAGTAAAGAGAGGTCACAATAAAATTTTAATATCTAATGGAGCTTGAAATATCATCAGACTGAGCTTCAGTGTACCCACATGACTGTGTAATAATCTGTCCCTTTGGGGCCTAGGTATTTGTCTGTCCACACAGACCTACTGGGATTCAGCAGATCTGTCCAAGGCTTTGGAGTTTTCCAATCTGCCCCTCCTCCACTACCTACCTGGGGGAGCCCCTAACAAAGATGAGGACCAGATACTTGCCCTTAGCTGGGCATGAGATCCAGGGATCTCCTTCATCTCAAAGACCTACAAGAGGCTGGGAAAAGCCCAGCCAGCTCTTTCTCTCTAGGAACAGATGTTCAGGGGAGGAGTCTATGGGGGGAGGGGCGGGAAGAGGGTCTCTGGCTTCTCAGAGCCTGCCACATGCCCCTCCTCGAAATCTGCTACAGCTTCCTCCTGGAAATGCTTGCTCTGTGTTTCTGCCGTGTCTTTAACTCTCTCTCTCTCTCTCTCTCTCTCTCTCTCTCTCTCTCTCTCTCTCTCCTGGGCATATATCTCTCCCTTCACCATTCTGGGGTACCCCTGACAAGTGCAGCTCTTAGGACTCTCCATCTGCTTAGGCTGAAAAAGGGTCGCCCCTCCACTGCGTGGACCCCACCCACTCTGCCCAAATTCTCCTTCACACAACCTTCAGGCACCGTAGACCACCCCCAACCCCCCACGTGTATTTGTGTGTATGTTCGAAGCTCCGCCTGAGCCTGCTGTGCCCTCGTGCATAATGATGAGGATGTCTGCCAGTTTGGACCCGTCTAGCTAAGTGTGAGAGGCCAGGGCACCTGCGTGGCTGGGTATTGTGCGCCTTTCTGTGCGTGTGGGTGAGTGTGTGTCTCCCTGGCTACAACATCTTTATCTCAGACTGAAGGGCTGCACGTGGACGGTTTCTCTTAGCCAGCCTACATCCCCTCCAAGAGCACTCAGTTCAGGGACAACCTCACCAGCCTGGTGGCACATGCACAGAGATGCAGGCATCCTTCCTTCCAGTCCCAGCAAGCCTAGCTCTCCTGGTCCCGAAAAGCCGAAAACCTTTTAGTATCTTCGGGCTCCAGAGCCACGACCCCATCCCCCACACCCTAGATATATAAGCCTCTATATGGACTCTAGGCATTGCTGAGAGAGGAGAGAGGTGATGGGAGGAGAGTCAGAAAGGCAAACTGAGGACGTGCTGGAAGAGTAAGGGAGCCACTGCGGGGAGAAGTAGGTCTTATCCACACCACGCCCCTCCCACCAGGGCTGGAAACCCAGGGTAGTCTATTCTCCATCCTGGTCTTCCTTGGGGTTCCCAGGTCTAACCCCACCCTTTCCCCACTGAAACTGGAGCCGGGGAAAGGCAGCTGGGACCCCCCCTCCACTAGAGTATCCCATCTGATTCCCCACCCCCAGCACACACACACACACACACACACACACACACACACACACACACACACACAGTAGAACTCTCCCCTCCCCCACAACTGGAAATGATTGGACCAACACACACACCATCAGAGAGCAGCTGCTTATTGGCTGCAGGGAGCGGCGTCCCAGCCCCCGGCTCTGAGGCGGGAGCTGAGCTTGGAGGGAGGTGCACACTCTGCGAGCCCCTCCCGCGCCCCCCGCACCCTGTCTGAGAGCTGAGCGGCCCATCCAGGCGGACAGGTGCGGCGCCAGTCAAGCGGACCACTGCCAAGGGTGGAGGCAAGTCCTGCGGTGAGAGGCGCTCCTGCACCAGCCACTGCCGCTGCCTCCTCCGAGCGGGCTAGGGGAGCTGGGCTGGCAGGCTGGGCGCGGAGAGGAGCTGAGCGAGGGGCGCGCTCATGGAGCACACGCATGCCCACCTCGCCGCCAACAGCTCGGCCTGCGGCTTGGGCTTCGTGCCGGTGGTCTACTACAGCCTCTTGCTGTGCCTTGGCTTACCAGGTGAGGGACTTGGGGGAAGGGGAGGAATCCAGGAGCTCCAAGTTGCGGAACAACCCTATCCAGAACCCCCAGGATCTCAGCTACTTTGTAAGGACGTGCCCCGGAACCCCTTTCGAAAAAAGTTTAAACCCTGATGCGAGTGCGGATTTCTAGACCCGTAAAAGAAGTTCCGTGGCTTGGAGGGGACAGTGGGGAGAGAGGGGGGCGATGGGCATTGTGAGTGTGCATGTATTCCAATGTGCATGTGTGTTTGTGTTTCAGGGGGCGGGGGGTCGTGTCGATGAGGGGTCCATGGAGGGCTGCGTGTGGCTTAACCATAGTTGCTGGACTGAAAGCTTAGAGAAGGCTGCACTAGTGCCTTTGTCCCACACTGTCACCGCAACTGAGACCACCCCTGCCACCCATCCCCTCTGAGCATCTCCACCTAATCCAGCATGAAGTGAGAGGCCCTGATGCTAGTCATTCAGGAGCAGGGGCTCTGGGATGCACCCTTGCCCTGAGCGAGTTATGGCTAAGAAGTATCAAAGGGTGACTCTAGGTCTCTGCTGGCTGTGGCAAGGGTGCAGAGATGCGCGCAGGCTGCCGGGACTGCCCCTCAGTGGGTCGCAGTATCCTTGAGGTCATGTCTGCCCCCCTGGCTTTGCCTCCAGGTCTACTCTCGCTCTCCTTCAGCGGGGCATCGTTGCAGATGCCTGGCTGGTCCAACATCTTAATGTCCTCTGGAAAGTGTGGCTCGGACTTGTACTGAATTCCTGAAGAGAGCTGAGGTGTTGGGGGAGGAAGAGTGCTTGGGGAGAGCAACGGAGCCCAAAAAGAACAGATTTTCCCTGAGGCTTCAGTTTGGGGGTCTTTGGATGACCCCTTCTTCTACACAGTCTACGGCAAGATCATTCCCAGAGTCACTTGGGAGAGAGAGAGAGAGAGAGAGAGAGAGAGAGAGAGAGAGAGAGAAATAGAAAGGGGAAAAATCCTTGTCCAAGCTAGAATCTTAGCATCCGCTCCTGGTCATCTCTGCTCTGATAAGGAGCATCCCGGGATCCTGCGAAGTTGCAATTCAGCCTTTCAAGAGCTGAGGCAACGCCCCCCCCACAGCCCCCTCCCACAGGCACACCCGTTACCGCTTCTCCCAAACACTTAGCACATCTAGGGTTCCTGGAAAAATGGTTTGCCTCAATCCCCCTTCCCAAATTTGGCCAGCACAAGAAAATACAAGTTTCCTAACATGGGGTCCTCTGTCCCCCTAAGCAGGAGACTTTTCTTCCTAACTCATCCCTCTCTTAGAAAAGAGGCTCCATCTCTATGCACCCTGCCAGGTAGTACTGTCCTGTAATTACCTGGAACTGAGATTGATTTCCATCTAGGCTTCACCTCCCCCTCCTGCCCTCCAGAGCCTGTCCCTGGAGCTCTCTTTGGACAAATGAGATTTTAAGAATGTTGGTTATAGGTGATGCTTGCTGAAGCGGAGATAAGCCAGAGCCTCTTCCTCCCTCAGTGCCCCCTCATCAGAATGTATCCAACCCCGCCTCAACCCCTCTGTCTCAACTGCTTCTAGTTCTCTCTCTCTCTCTCTCTCTCTCTCTCTCTCTCTCTCTCTCATTTTCTCTGCAAATTTTAAAGGGCAGAGACCTAAAGGCAGGAAGAAAATGACCTCCAACAGCCGAAAGCAGGGCATGAGGAAAACAGAGTATTCAGATGACAATGACATCAGTGAGGATGTCAAAGTGCCTTGAGCCTTCTCAACCTAACTCCCCCCTGGACAGTTAGTGTCTCTGACCCACAGCTTTGGTACCAACTGTATGCCAGGTACTGTGCTTGGAACAGGTTTAGCCCAGGGATTGGGGGTTTAAGAGAGAGAAGGGCTGGGATTTGAATTTGGATAATGTGGATGTATTGAAACACTTAACTAGTGGTTTTAACCACCTACTATGTGCAAATAGTAAGGATGTGCCAAAGGGCTCCAAAGGATCCTTAGAGGCAGTCACTGGGTTCAGGGAGCTCACAGATACACAAATGGAAGCTTGTGATGTTAGAGACAGCAGCTGGATGCAAAACAGAGCTTTCTAGAGAAGAATGAAGAGGGAGAGCAGACTTCTCCAAAATAAAGGGCTGAAAGCAGTTTTGTGGACAGTCTAGAAGGTTGGTTCAAAGACAAAATCCTCATTATTCTTTTAAAGCCATACAGGGAGGCATGTGTATCCTAGCAAATAAGAGTACAGGCTGGGAATTAATCCAGACTCTTCCAGGGTCAGGTGATATAGTAGTAGCTCTGTGCCTCAGTTTCCATATCTGTAAAGTGGACATTATGAGAGTGGCCCCTCCTGGGGTGACAGTGACAAGTGACTGAATTGATGGAGATGAGAGAGTAAGTTAAGCATGCAGCTCGGTGCCTGTTACATGCATTGACTGACAGTGTGTGACTGCAGCTGTAGCCGTCACAGCACCAGTGGGGTTGTGAGGAGAAGGGGCTACTCAACCCCACTAGGGGCCAGCACAGAGACCAGCAGGTGTTCAGAGGAGAGCACTTAGCATGACATGTTAGCCTTGCATGTTCCCCATAGTGTTGCCCTCCCTACCTGGCAGCCACCAGCAATTAGCAAACCCTCATTATCCTACCACTGAAGGAGAGACGTAGCTATGTGGGGTGTGAAATAACGGACCACAGGCTTTGCTACTATTGTTGAAAGCTGAGATTTTAATTGAATCACTGTTCCCAGCAGTGAACTCACCCAAAGTTTTTCAAATCCCCTTGGTGTTGTTAGAGGTGTGGGTGGAAATGGGGGAATGGATGGGGAGTGCCTGGGTGTTTGCCAAGGAGGAGCCAGTCATTAGAGAAAAGTGGCTAATGTCTCTGGCCACATACAGCTTCTAAGTTGAGAGAAAGAACTTGAGAAAAGCCCCATGATCTAACCCTCTACTTCAAGGAATTGTCTCGTGTGGTCTAACACAACATATCTACCATAGATCCTAAAAATTCCAAAAGGAATTCTCAACCACCCAGTTCTATAGTTTATCCCATCAGTGAAATGGGTTAGGAATGGTGCATAATCACCCACCTGATAGCATCTAGTAATTAAGATAATCGATATAAAATAGCTCAAGTCATGCCTGTGATCCCAGCTACTCAGAATACTGAGGCAGGAAGATTGGTTGAGCCAAGGAGTTCAAAGCCAGCCTGGGCAACATAACAAAACCCAGTCCCTTAAAATGTTCAGCATAGTGCCTGGTTCAAGAAAAGCACTTTTTACTCAGTGCCTTCTGCACACTATATCTTTTTCACCTGTGCACCAGAACCTCATCTCCATTACATACCCCTATGACCTGTGCATGCATCTGAACCCATTTTATGGCTGAGTAAACTAAGATTCTAAGAATATCCAGTCACAGAGTCAAACCAGCCTACGAATGCACCTGCCCTTTCTATTGTATCACACTTCCTTAATTCCCACCAGGGAGATGTTTTAACTAAACTTGGCCCGTCATGCTATGGGGTTAGCAGAGAGTATTGATGCCCTAGCCCTACCAAAAGGCCATCTCTTTCCTTTCCCACTCCTTTTTAAATAAATAAGAGGGTTCTCTTTTCTTAAGGCTCAGAAGCTAAGTCAGCAGAGCTAGTGCTGATTGGCCTAGTGGGCACAAGTCAGTGCAGAAGGAAACGCAATGAGGGAAGAAAGGATGAACTTGAACCTGGATGCCTGAGGGAAGACAGCAAGGGAGATGATAGGTGAGCTTACCTGATAAAGAAGAGACAAAAAAAAATCAAACAGATTTGAAAGGCTTTTTTTTTTCTTTTTTTCTTTCTGAACAGTGCCACAGACATAAAGAGGAAATAATAGCTTGAAATTCGACTCCACCCTACAGAAAGGAGTGGCTCCACAGCAGTCTATCAAGGGCCATGAGATCTGCCTTTGATGGCTGGGGTGAGATGAAGGGAGCCTAACTTTAACTTTAAGGAAACCTGGCACACAGCAGTTTCCATGATTATTATCCAGAGGCAGAAAACTAGTAATCCAGTGACTGGACTGAATGCTGCAGATGGATATGCTTTCTTTGATCCATAAACAGTTTTGACCTGAGAAGCTATAGTGAACAGGTTAAAAGTGGAAACTTGGGAGCTCAGCCTCTGGGGTTCTGAGTCCTGGTTGTGTGGGAAAGTGATATTAATTGCTTGATGCCTCAGTTTCCCCATTTGTAAAATGTAGACAATGTTAATAATAGTTCATATATTGTAGGATTGTGGCAAAGATTGAATTAAGCCTGGAACACATCTGGCACAATAAACACTCTACAAGTTACTTTTTATCATTTGAAACTTGGAGGAATCCCCAACTTGTTAGACGACACCAGCTTTACTCTAATATCAAAAGTAGATAAAGACATTATAAGAAAACAAAACCATAGACCGATAAGCCTCTCGAACATAGACACAAAAATCCTTAAGAACATAATAAAGTTAACCCAATAATATCTAAGAAGGACAATACATCTAGACCAACTTGGGTTTACATAGGAATGCCAAACTGTGTCAACATTTGACAGTCATGTTATCAAATTTAAAAATCCCTTCTTAGTAGATGAAGAAAAGGCACTTGACAATAGTTCCATCCTTTCACACGAAAACTCATTAAACAAGAAACCTAAAGTGAATTTCTTTAACCCGAAAAAGAGCATCCATAAATAACCTGGCACTTCATTGCATTTGCTTGTGGAAGACTGAATGTTTCCCCCGTGGTCTGGAACAAGGCATGAACAGCTGCTCTCCTCACTCTCATTCAACATTGTACTGGACGTTCCAGCCAATGTAATAAAGCAGGAAAAAGAAAGAAAAGCTATACAGAAGAGAATAAATTAAGTTGTTTCTATTCATAGATGTTAGAATAACCTTCATAGAAAATTAAAAAGACTCCACAAAAAACTCCTAAGAGTTAAGTGGCTTCTGTAATATTTGCAGAACATGTGATTAATAGGTAAACACCTACTGTTATACTAGCAATGAATAATTA